GAATGATATTGGTGTTTTGATGAGGATCACATTGCATCTGTAGATTGACATTTTAACAATATTGATTTTTCTAATTCATAAACGTAGGATAGTGTTCAACTTTTTGTCAGTTTCATTCATTAATGTCTTATTATTTCACTGTAGAGATCAACTTTTTGTTTAAATTCATTCCTACATATTTTATTTTATAGCCATTATAAATATAATTTATTTTTGAATTTGTATTTCAAATATTTTCCATTGTTATCTAGCAATGCTACTGATTTTTATATGTTGATTTGGTATCTTGCAACTTTGGTGAATTCATTTATTCAAAAAAATGTGGGTTTTTTGCTGGAATTTCTGTAGACATGGTGAAAATTAGACTCCCTCTTTTGGAAGTTTTTTTTTTTTTCTCTTGCATGATTGTTCTGGCTAGGCCTCCTGTTACTATGTTGAATAAAAATGGTGAACATGGACATTCTTCTCTGATTCCAGATTTCTACAGAGATTTCTTTTCATTATATTATGAACTGGTGGCTAATTATTTTTGGCCTTTATTATGTGTATGAACGTTCATTTTGTAGTTTTTTCAGTATTTTGATCATAAAGGTATGTCAAATTTTATCAAATGATTTTCTACATCTGTTGAGATCTTCATACAGCTTTTGTCCTTTATTCTGTTGACATGATATATGAATTTTTTTTTTACTTGTGTGTGTTCAACCATCCTTGTATCTTTGGGATTAATTTCACTTGATCATGGTGATTTTTAATGTACTGTTGGGCTTGGTTGGTTAATATATTGCTGAGAATTTTTGCATTTATGTTCATCAGGGATATTGGCTTATAGCTTTCTTTTTTGAGTGTGTATACTTCCTGTTTTTTGTATTAAATAATGCTGGACTTATAAAATGGTTCCATCCATTTTGATGTTTTGTGGAATAGTTTAATTAGAATTAGTTTTTTTAAATGTTTTGTAAAATTTAATATTAAAGTCATTAGGTCCAGGACTTTTGTTTTGTCCTAATTTTTTTGAGACAGAGTCTCCCCGTGTAGTTCAAGCAGACCTTGCAGTCATAAGATAGTTCACACAGGCCTCAGACTCATGGCAATCTTCCTGCCTCACTCTCCTGAGTGCCCCACCAACTCTGGCCAGAAATCTTTTTAGATGGAAATTTTTACCACTTCATTCTCATTACTCATTATTCGTCTATTCATATATTTTATTTCTTCTTCACTCAATGTGGTATGATGTATGTGTCTGGAAACTTGTTAATGTCTTCCAAGTTATCACTATTTTGGTTATTATTGAATAATTTGCAATGATTTGTATTTTTAATATTAGTTGTAGTGCTCCCTTTCTCCTATCTGATTTTTATTTATTTGAGCTTCTTTCTCTTTCTTGGTCTGCCTAAGGGTATATCATTTTTATTCAATTTTTTCTATTCACCATGATTTCTCAAAATTTTTTAGTCTCTTTATTTCTGTGCTGATTTTTATCATTTGTTTTCTTCTACTTGGATTTGGTGTATTCTTGATTTTGTAGCTCCTTACAGTACAGGAAAACATTTACATTTGGGTTCTTTTCTTTTTCTTTGTTGATTGCAATAAACTTTTCTCTTAGTACTATTTTTTTCTGTTTTCCACAGGTTTTAGTATGTTTTTCCCTATTTCTATTTTCAAAAATTTTTAAATTTGCTCCATTTTAGTCATTTTTTTAATTTAAAAATTTCCTTCTTGATCTGTTGTGAACTACTCAGAGTCATTTTAAAATTTTTCATCTATTCGTATTTTTCCAAAGTTTTTCTTCTTTTTCAATTTATTGTACCATCGTTGCAAAATATTTGATACATTTTCAATTTTTTTTAATTTGTGTTATTTATTTTGGGGCCTATCATATGATCTATCCTAGAGAATGTTCCATGTGCTATTGAGAAAATATGTAGCCTGCAGTTGTATGAAGTGCTCTGTAGATGTCTGTCTGTTCATTTAGTGTAAGGTACATTTTCACTTTGCTATTTTACTTTTTGTCTCGTATCATCTGTTCATTATTGAAAATGTATTGTTAAAGTCTTCTACTAATATTGTATTAGTCTCCCTATTCTTTAGGTCTATTAATGTTTGATTTAAATACTTGGGTGTTCAAATACTGGGTGTATATATATTAATAGTTATTTTTTCATTGTAGTTTTGATTTGCATTGCTCCAAGTATACTATCTTTTCATGTGCTTGTTAGCTATTCATGCATTGTTTTTGGAAAAAAAATCTATACAAGTTCTTTGCATACTTTTAAAATATTGACATGTCTTTTTGTTGTTGAGCTTTAAGAGACATTTGTATATAGTGAATTCCAAATCTTTCGTGGATATATAATTTAAAATCTTTTGTCTCATTCAAGATTATTCTTTCACTTGATAAGAAAACCAGTTGGTCTATTTATTTTTCTCATGATGTTTATAAAGTACTTTTGCAGTAATAACTAAGAAACTATTGCCAAAACTCAAGGTCATGAAAGTTTACCTATTGGTGTTTTCTTTGATTTTTATAGTGTTAGCTATAAATTTAGGACTTTAATCTATTTTTAAACAAAGTGTGAAGCAAGTGTCAGCATTTATTTCTTCATTTTTATGTGGATACCTGTTTATCTCAGCATCATTTGTTGAGGGGATTATTGTTTTCTTTTTAAATGACAACTTTGCTGAAAATGAATTAGTAACAGATGCATATGACTTTATTTCTAGACTCCCAATCTATTACACTGCATTATATCTGAAACCTTATATAGGTCCTATTAATATTTCCACTATTAAAGGTGTTTAGGAAGTCTTAAAATTAAAAAGTGTAAACTCTGTAACCTTCTTTTCCCAAATATTTTGATAACTTGAGACCCTTGAAATTATAGAGTGTTAAGATAGGTTTTTCTACTTTATGTATTTAGATCATTTAATATTTAATATTTATGTTAGAGCTTGAATCTGTTATTTTTGTTATCTTTTTTCTGCCTTCCTTTAATTGCCTGAATTATCTTACTCCTTTCCTGATATATCAATATTGTTTTTGAGTGTACTATTTGTCTAATTTTTTGAGTGGTCAAATTTCATATTAGCAATTCATCATAGTCTACAATGTCCTCATTCTTAGCTCAAAATAAATATAAAAGTTTTACTTCCCTTTATATTTTTATAACCTTTCCCATTTATAATTGGGTCATGTATTTCTCCTACACACATTTGGAATCACCTTATACAATGTTGCTTTAATCTATGCTTCAACCATCACACATTGTTTTTAAAATTCCTATGAAGACTTACTATATAGATGAATACTTTTGCTTACTACACTCTTTCTTCTGTATGTTCCAAGGTTCTTTTTTTTTTTTTTCATTTCCTTTCAGTGTAATTAACTTCCTTTAAGCCATGCTTTTTAGGGTTGGTTTGATTTTAACAAATTCTGTTTCCGTCATCTGTGATTATCTTAATTTCTCTTTAATTCCAGACATATGTGTTCACTAAGTGTGAAATTCTAGGTTGACAGATTTTTTTTTCATCACTTCAGAAATGATTTGTTAAAAGGTTTTCTTTTGGAAAGGTTTCCTTCTAGAAGTTTCCTTCCTTCTGTATCCTAGGGTTTCTGATGAAAAATCTGCTGCTTGCCAACATATTCGTGTAGCCCTACAGGTAAAGCATCATTTCTCTCTGTGCCTATCAAAACCTTCTTTTTAAAATTGAGTTTATTGGTACATTTTAGATATACAGTACAGTTACATTCATTATTGGGATCTTGTACCTTTACATGACAGGTCTTGGTTCTCATTTTTTCCTCTTGTCCCTGCCCTCCCTTCACCACCTCCTCCCCTCCCCATTTATATCAAAACCTTTTAATGCTTAGTGTTCAGACGTATGTATGATTAGTCTTGATATGCATTTTGTGGGTTTGCTCAGCTTACAGGATGTGTAAGTTCATGCATTTTGCTAAATTTTTAAGTTTTCAGCCATTATTTCCTTGACTACTTTTTAAACCTTACTCTTTGTTTTCTCCTATTTTATTTTATTTCCACTGACACAAGAGATGAATAGTAGTGGCTCCTCATTACTGGTGAGCGGTCTTGCTACTTTTGGCTCCCATGTGGTCTCCACTGATGCAACTGGAAGAACTTTTTCACAGTGGGGTTGAAAGTCCACCTCTTTGATCTTTGCTCAAATAGAAATATTATACTGTAAAAAGTTTTGTGTCTTGATACAGTGTCCTTTTCCTCATCCTTGGGTTAAAGTTAACTTGATTTTGTTTGTTCTATGACTGTTCACAGATTCAATTTACCAGCTTCTTCAACTCCATTTCTAGGATAAATTAGAACAAAAGCCTAAGGAATCAACTACTATGCCATTTTTTAGAACTTGAGGGCCCTAGCCAATCAAATGTCTTTCCATTCTTTCCACTTTGCTTATGTTTGTCTTATATTTAACGCAAGGATTTTCAGATGTAATAAGTGGGAGGATTAGGAAAAAGTATATTTACTCTATCTTCCCCTTAATAGAACTGCTTTCATGCTTATCTTTAGCTAAGTCTCTCTTCATTACTAATATGAGAACATAAAGTGGGCTGTTATACAAAGTAATGATCTTTTTAGTGCTATAAGTTTTGAAGCACACAGTAAATAATCATTTGATAGTGATATACAGCAGCAATTTCCAGATTTGGCAGGAATCAGGAGATAGATGTTGGTAAAAGTTTTTCTGAAGTTAATATTCTGTCATTTTCACATGAAGCTTCCCCCAACTCATCTCTCACAATTTACCTCCTTTGATTTTATTTTGCATATATAATCTATACAAAATTCTTTGTTCCATGTAGTTTGGATCTACCATCAATGTTAGAATCTTTAGATTAAAATTATGCCTTATAGCTTTACATTTGCACAAACTGTTAGCCAACATTGAGTACAATTACAGAAAAGTGTCAAGATTCAACAAATCCATTTTTGTTAATAAACTGTTATCTTAGAAAACATTCCACTTACCCAGTAATAATAATTTCTGGATATGTTTGTGCTCCAAGATTCCAAGCTCCTCCACTGACTGGCCACTCCTAAATAGATTACCCACGAAGAATATTTAAATTTTTATATTTTTAGTTTGAATGACTTAGAAATTTTGAGTGAAAATATTTTAAAATAATGATAAAAGGTTCACTTATGCTAAATAGCTATAAAATAATAAGGATGAAGTATGTAGTTATCTTTTAATTCTTCCATTAAACAAACACCTCTATAAATGCACAATTCTCCCTCCATTAAAAATAGATTTTTAACTAATATTACCACTCATATAAACAAGCAAAAGAAGTATTTTTAATTGTACAAAGGCAATGTTGTTATGTGAATCACAGAGTCTGTGTATCACCAAATTATTATGGAGTTATTTGAAAAGAATACTATGTAAATCATCTCTCTTGGGGATGTCTATTCCAATAGACCTGCACAAATAACAGAAACCATAATAGATGGTAAGTGAAAATTATAAATATTTGATCTTGTAAAAACAAAAAAATTTGAAATGTTATAAACAAATTACTTTTAATAACCACATTTTCTAAACTACAGATTAATAAATGACAAACTAAGAATAAATTTTGATTTCTTAATGTAAAATCTTTAATCTAAAATAATTAAGGTTACATCTTTTTTCCTAGTTTTTATTAGTATATGCTAGTGATACTAAATGTTACATCTTAAAATTTAACATTACTTTAAGTATATACATGTATATATATTTAGTATACAACAGCACATGAAAAATAAGTATACTTTAGTATATAATTATATGTTTAGTGCTTAAGAAATTTATATTCTTGTAGGCTTAAAACTATGTACCATTTAGGATATTTGATTTTCAGCGGTTCTAGCGTTGAATGATGCCAGTATAAATTTAACTTCTTTTTTCTTATATGGAAAGTCAGAAAATAAAATAAGAGGGAAAAGTAGGACAATATACTATGAATACAACAAAAGTTATTTGTGATTTCTACTTTTACCTTATTACTGTATCCTTGTTTTTTATGCTTGACTCCTATAGAATAGAGTACTAGAATCAAATCTGGAGGGCAGTCGGCAAAATATGCTGTGCATGTAACTGGTGATTCATGAATGTCCATGGGATATGGATTTTCAAAGATTGGAAAACTAATGGATAAAGACAATGTATCAGTGTTATTTTACAAACAAAAATATGGAATAATTTTAATACTGAACCTTAAAATGTTTCTAAATACTTTATAAATTTCACTTGTTTTCAGCAACATGAAACAAGAAGTATATGAACAGTAATTTTAAAATAGTTATATAATCAGTTCGAAACTGGGTAAAGAAGATATTTATATTTTCTATAAAATGGAATACTACTCAGCCATAAAGAATGAGAAATTAGAGTCATTCATAGGAAAATAGATACATATTGAGGATATACTCGTAAGTGAAATAAATAAGCTACACGTGTAAATACTGAATAGTTTCTCTGGTGTGAAAAACTATAATAGTACACAAGATCCTAATGAGATAATTAACAATGTGACATAGGAAGAAAACGGCTAAAGGTGTAGGGAAAGTGGGAAGGGTAGGAGAAAGGTAATAAGGGAAAAGAAAAAAATATGAGAAAATGAAAAAATGTAAATAAAGTGTTTGTAAATGGGGAGGGAAGGAGAGGGTGAAGGGAGGGCAGGAATAAGGGTAAAAATGAGAACCAAAACCTGTCATGTAAAGGTACAAGATCCCAGTAATAAATGTAACTGTATTGTATACCTAGAATGTTTCAATAAACTCAATAAAAATAAATAGTTATATACAAAATATAATTTTAATAATTTACTCAAATTTATGTTCTTCAAGAAATTCAAACATTCTACAGTGACAGTGCTTCATAATGTGAATATAATGAATATTAAATTGAAAACATGCAACAAGTTCCATTTATTAAAAATTATATTAGCTATTTTATCTAAAATATAATGTAGTCACAAGTTTTTAAATGTTAGTGCATTTTGGTATTTTTCCAAAGGGAAGTATAACATAGGCAAGTACCTAACTTTTTTGTAGGAATAACAAAACTATGTGTGTATGAATGTGCGATGATATATGATTTAAAGATGATTTCCTATATATAAAGTACATAGTTGGCGTGAAGTCTTATGGATACAATAAATTTCCTTAAGCCTACCACAACTTTAAAAAGGGCATGAATACAGAATCAATGAAAAAAGTACTGTAGATATACTGAGAACTCATGTAACGACAAGGAAATGAATGGTATTCTATACAACATCTTTCTGATAATGCAACTTCTGATGAAATATTTATGATTGGAGAGGACAAAGAATGTTAAAAATAATTTTCTCATATCATTAGGAACTTAATTAGGAATTAGGATGTTAATTCAAATTCCAGATAATATAGCTTATGTGGTGGTATGTTCTGGCAGGAATTCTCTTTTTATCACTCTGAAATGTTGCATGGGATATGGTACCACAGATAAGGATAACATGTATGCAAAATTAAGTGGAAAGGAGAAATCATATTTAATAAATTAAAAGTAGGTAAAACTGCATGGATCAGAATTCTGTTTCAGGGTACATATTATTAACATATGTGAGATTGAAAACTAAGAAGTAAAATGAATTAATCACCTTGAATACTACACCTACATCTTAGAATTTAGTAATAGCAAGAAGTAACAATGTTACACTCCTAACAGTGTGAACAGTATATGAAAAATATTTGGGAAAATTATTTTAGTATATTGGCAAAGAGAAGGCCTAATAATACATATGAGGAAAACAATAGCTAAAAATTTGTTGCAATATTTAAATGTAAAAGTATAAACTGGTTGCTGCTGAAATGGAACTAAAGATACGAATCCAAGAAACTTAGAAGAAAAATGTGTACACCCTAATGATTGCCTTCAAATTGATGATTAAATGCAAATAAGGGGGAAAATACACTTTAAAAGGATTCCAAATGTACAACTTGTACAACTTTCAACACAGCCGAGAACTATTTCATATTTGACCAAAAAAAAAGAATTTAATCAATTTTGATAAGTTAAATTTAATGGAATAGCCAATGAAGTTGGAATGCCATATAAACCTTAAAACCTGGCACTAAAGAAAGCAAAAGTTACATAAAGACTTACACAAAAAATGTCACTTTACATATTGAATGCAATAAACAGCAAAAGAGCAAATGTATAAAATAGTAATTTTTATGTTATACATATGTTACTGTAATAAACAATTTAAATAAAATCATAAATGTCTACTGAAGAAATATAGTACAGTATTAAAGGCCTGTGGAACCAAAAAATAAGAAGAAAGATGTGAGCACCAGTAAGATCAGAATACTAGACTTTAATAAAATTTGTTTTAGAACTTCCTAGATGAAGAAGCCTAAATCTTTACCAATATATGAAATTAATCAAGTTTGATGTTGATAAGCAGGGCAGCTAGGAAAAATTCATAGCTTTGATCTTTGTAGTCTACATTCTACATCTTCCTCAAAATACTGACATATTATATGCTTCAAATTAGTAAAAAAGATTACTGGCCTAATAAATATGATGTGGAAAGAATTCAGACTAATTTTTTTAAACAAAAATGTGTTGAGAGGAAAGCATCCCCTCCATTATGGAGCCTATTTTCAGAAAGGAAACAATCTTTAAACAAGGACAAATGGAAAAGTTCTATTTGTGTCAAAGGTCTCAAATGAGGATTGTGGGGCTGTGAGTGTTCATAAGAAGCACTTGACAAAATAATACAGAAAAGGAAATTGTATTTTATGAGAAACTGATAACTGAATTGATTCTTAAAATGCTCACTAGGAGAATAAAAAGATATTATTCTAGGAAGAGGAAAAATAATGTGTAAAATTCTGCTATAGAAAAATGGGGCTAAAAGATCAGTGATTTTAGAACATATAATGAGAGAAAATTTGATTCATGTATAATTTATAATGAAACTATGCAGCCAGAAGATGTCAATTTCAAGTCCACTTTTACTGTCAATGTTAAAGAGTGCCACTGTAAGAGATCATGACTATAGCAATGGTATTCCATATTTGTTTCAATTGCCCACAACACACTGTAAATGAAAAGAAAAGAAAAGCAGTTCTCCATCTTTTTTGTCACAAAGATTCTGGTCTTTCACGTTGTCTGCTCAGTAGTCTAATAATACTTAATAAAAGTGTCATTTTCCTTTAGCCAATTTCCCTTCAGTCAATAGAATAGCAGGTGTCCAGCTATTATACTGTTTAAGTCTTGCTTACAATTACTTTTGTTTAAGGAAATGGCAGAAATATGATCCATTTTGCATCCTGAGTCTACAAATATTTCTATTCAAACATTAGGTGCCTTTAAGATATCGTACAGTTATCCAAACTCTTCAGGTTTAGTTTTCATCATTTAACAAAATTTCATTACTATAATTTTAGCAGAACAATTTTCACATAAGGAACTTATGTAAGGAATGTTAATGTCAATTATTTTAAATGTCCCCCATGCATTTTAACTGTAATAAATAGAATTTAAAAATCATTGTAATTGATCTGTCCATGAAGAACTTACTTGCTCTGTGTCAGGTCAACTACAATGAGATCTTTCTCCAGTAGTACTGCAACAGCATAAGGTTCTTGAAATTCTACAAGTAAAAATAAGAGATTGAAAAGTTTTCATATTGCATATTTTATTAAAAATTACTGAAACTGCATTCCCTTTACCTCCTATATAAATGTTATTTAAATATGAGATCAAAATATGAAGTCCATGTAACAAAGAACACCTTAATAAAATACATGCCATGTTTCTTAATTATAAAGTTCACTATAGAGAAAAAGGAAAACATGAGATGTTACATAACAGAGTTAAATTCATCTTAATAATCACAGGGTAGTGACAGAAGTGTATTGAGTGAAGAGTGAGACTATCACCTCCAACTCATAAGTATTTATCTTTCTCTTTCACAACCTTAGTATTTTAGCTCTATTTTCAAGTCTCCAAGTAGATGTCCTAAGTAAATAGTAATTCTGCTATTCTGGAGTATGACACATATTCACTTTACTATGAAAGTAATACTACTTTTACTTGCAATTCAATGGAATACAACATATAGATTGTGTAGTATGTGCCTAGCACCACATGCCTAGAAAAATCATATACTCTTTCATTTCTTCTCTCTCTTCCTTTTTTCCTTCCTCCAATGTGCTCCAGAAACTGTCTTAAAAATAGTATTGACAAAGTACTATTTCTCAGAGAATTTATATTATAGAGATGTTTTATAGTCCACAAAGGAATAAGAATAATTGGGGAAGTAACATGAACTATGGAAAAAAAAACAATAAAGGTAACTGCACAAAATTGATTTGTTTTTGTAGGAGGGGGTCCTAATTTAATTTACAGATACTGGTTTCTATTTATAGTAAAGGACTAGTAAGGACTATAGTGAAAGAATGATTCTCAATTTAAGGAAGTCATTCATAAACATATTTTGTATATATCATATTTGATTCTCATTAGCTAGAAGATATACTGTATTATTATTTTTTAATTTTATAGAGAAAAACTGAGGTCCAAAAAAGTGAAGTAACTGGTATAGGTTATACAACTAGTGAAAGAGTGAGCTAACATTTACACCCAGGCTGTCTGATTTGAAATGTCATCTTGGCTTCATTATATCAGCCATTTCTACTCACTAGTTTGGGCAGTATTCAATCCTAAGCTCCACAATTACTTGGTAGGAATTTTGTGCAGAAGATTTAAGTCTTTGATGGGAATTAAAACACTGGAAAAGACAGCCTTCACAATCCTGCTAGATCTAAGCTAGAGTCTATTCAGGTTTATGTTTACAATTCAAATGCCTATGAGAGAAAAAACTTTAAACATGGAAACAAAAAAATGAAATTATGAGTCTCCTTGCATTGGTGTCTATGTAAGCAATCTACATACTGTTTGCAACTGTTCTCAAACTGAGACTTTTCCCCTTCTCCCTTATCTTTAGAGTTGTTTTAAGTTCTTCAATGTTGTTTCCATGTTTTATTTTTCAGTTTGAAGAATAGTAGGGTTCCATATGATTATTCTATCTTTGCCTTCTCTCCTTAGGAACATCACTGGTTAGGAAGCAAGTGCTACAGAAATAAAACAGCTGATACAATGGTGTGTATAAATCAATTATTAGTAGATAAATTGTAATTTTAGGTAGTTATATCTGGTTTAGATTATTATTGTTCTTTTACAAATAATGAAAACTGGAAGAAGACATTTTTTATAGAAGTACCTTGTGTATAGTCAGTAAACAAAGGACCTCCATTGGAGTCAATGTTGGGTTTGAGTCTATATCTATTATTTACTACAAATGTAATCTTGGGTAAGTTATTAAATTATGAATTCATTTTAAAATTAAATTCCTGTACTCACTGACAGAGCAAATAACTACATTAGACTGTTATGAAGATTGGATGAAGAAATATGTATGAAGATGTTTAGTGCAAATCCTGGCCCATGATAGGTGTACCATAGTAGATAACTGTATTACTTCCTTCATTAGATTGGTATGTCACTTTTTTAATCCTAGCCCCTAACATGGTGAAAAGCTCTATTTTAATTACTACTTCTCTAAAGAGAAATCACATTATTTGGGGGACTGGAGAGGACTGTATACAGCTAACTCTATATATGAAGCTGGCAAATTCTGATTATTGCTGGTTAATAATTCCAGGCAATGCCCAAGAAAACAACAATAAAGCATTCATGTTTTCTGAGAAAGAGGTTGAACTGTCAGATGTAATAAATGATTCAGTAATATTAAAAGTAGTTAATTGTTTAACCTACACATGATATTTATCATTATGTGGCTGCAAAAAGGACTGAAATTCTGTATTTGTTAATATGAAATAATGCTTAAAATTATTGTCAATTGTAGAAAGTATGATACAGGATATTATATATTCTTTCATTTGTACAAAAAGAATTACATGTTTAAATAAATGAATATACATATACATAGGTTATTTGGGGAGAATATATAAGAAATTAATATTGGTTGACTTGAAGGGCAGTGAGAAACTTTTCATTATATACTGCTATATTTTGTGCACATTTAAAAATTGTCACCTTGATGTATTAAGTGCTTTAGGAGTTAATAACATCTAAATAGTTAATAAGATACATTTGTATTTCACTGAGTAAAGTAAAAGTACTTCTATCTCCTGACAAATAAAAAGTTTAATCCTTATTGCGAGATTTCTGAAAGGCAAAGATTTAATATACGGGTTGGAAGTAAATAGGCCTGGTTGTAGTGCATTTATACTTTATTAGGCATCATTAAAAATTGTTCTAACATATCTATTGATGAGCAGAAATTTACATACAGACATACAGTGGTGGTCTTTGCAATCATATGTTCTGCTTTTATTGCTGGCACATCTTTCTCATGACTCTAGATATAAAGTATTTCCTAACGTCAGCTTTTAGTCTTTTATTCTTTCTCCCAATATTTTTCACCATTCGTTCTGATAACTCTGAAGAATATTTATATTCTGATGACTCATGAACAAATATTGCAAGAACTTCTCTTTTTCTGTTCTCTTAACTCAGTCTTACCTTAATCTCTTTCCAAAAATTTCTGTTATTTTTCATTAAGTCATTAATCTTAAAACATGTAGTTATTTTTTACTCATCTGTCATCTATCACTTCCCAATCCAGTTGTTTTCTACAATCAGAGGTTTCTTTTCTTCATTCCATTCCCTCATGTAGCACCCTATTTCAGGCCTTATTTTAAATGTGCATTTTTATTTTTATTTTTTCATTAAATTTATTGGTACTTTTTAGGTACACAATGCAGTTACATTCATCAGTGGGGTCTGTACCTTCACAAGATGTATCTTGGTTCTTATTTTTTCCCCATACCTCTGTCTTCCCTTCACCACCCCCACCCTTACCTATTTACAAAGACTTTGTTTCCATTTTTCTTTTTCTCATATTTTTCTTTTCCCTTCTTTCCTCTCCTCTACCCTTCCCACTTCCCTCTTTTAGCCTTTTTCTTCCTATTTCACATTATAAATTATACAATTTGAACATTATTTGCACTTTGTTTTTCACACCAGAGAAGCTATTCAGTATATACACATGTCCTATTTTAAATATGTATTTTTACAAAAACTTCTTAGTTGGAATATGGAATTTTAGATTTTAGTTTCTCTTTAAACTTACATATTCTTTTTGGACAAATCTTATAAAACTTAGAGATTTATATCATCTTAATATTTCCTCAAGATTCTTCTGTTGCTCCCTATTTTCAAATATCTATTAAAATCTTTCAGGTTTTCATTCTTAATTGATAACACCCTAGGGAACCTAACAATTTCTAAAACAATTATTTAATATCCTTTTTAAGATCTACCTAAGCTCTATTTTTCTGTGAAGCTTTGCATGAATATTTCTATTGACAATGTAACCAGTCTATAAGTTGATGTTATTTAAAGTCTGAACCATATAACTCAGTACTTGAATTTTTATATTACTTCAGCCTAACAAATCATAATTATCTCACTCATCAAATTTTATTAAATTTTAGCAATTTGCCCTCAGGGATCAATTTCATATTTCATCTGTACATTCAGTAAGTCCTTGTAAAACTGAGACCATATAAAAATTAAATAAATATTTACTGATTAACTGAAACACAGGTAATTTTTCCTAGTAACTCTGTAAATAAAATGCTACATTTAATGTTATTCCATCTTTTAAATATGAAACTCAATAATTTCAAATTAATACATTTTATAGTAAAACTCACAATATAGCTATATCTTCACAGTTTATAAAGTATGTTTTTTATCTAGCTTCCAATAATCATGAGACATTATAATTACTGTATTTTTATAAATGATAACTAAAACTACTAAGTGTGAAATGTCTTGCTCAGTGTTAAATGACTTAGAGAGTGGCAGAACTAAATCATAAACTCAAACATTTCTTTACCCAAGTCCAGTGTTCTTTCCCCTACATATAGGTTTCCTCTTGAAAATGTAGTAATGCACACACACTATGCCATTTCAACTGTAAACTCATTTCCTTTTTATGTTTTCATCCCCACTTTCTAGAGTTCATCCACATATTTTTATCAATACTGATTTCATTAGTTTACAAGCATTTAAAGTAGTTTTTATTAAAAAATAGAGTAGTTTTTATGTTTACCAAAAGGTTTTATAGTCATAATGATAAAAATATACATGCATTTTTCCGCCTGAAGCTCTAATTTGCTCAAAATTGAAATGAATCACTAACCACACATCAGCAATCCTACAGTAATCAGAGATGCTGCAGTTGCATCTGAAGCAAAACCAGAGGTGAAACAGATGCAGCACCACCAGTTACAGATCACTGATATCAGGTAAGTGCTTTAACTTTGATTGGATTTGGGATGGGATGGGTGGAGCTGGTCAAGGAGAGACTATTAGGAGACCTCAGTTTCCCCAAGTGATTTCACCCTGGACCCCTATCGGACCCTCCCAGCTCAGCTTCCACCATCCTTATCAAAGTTTAAAGCACTTACCTGACATTATAACCTGAAACGCCAGCACTGCTGCACTACATCTGTCTTACTTCCAGTTTGTCAAGTAGGTACAATTGCAGAACCTGTTCCAGCATCTGCAGTTCACAGTACCCAGTTGATGTCTGCTGCCAAAACTGAAAATATTTAACCTTAATTTTGTTAAGAACTTGTCATTTCAAAAATGATTTTCCAACATTAAAAGTCTCATTTTAGTTACTTACCATTTGGATAGGGTGTTTCACATAAAGTTAGAAATTCAACAATAGGATGATCCATTTCAAGTACTGTAATTGCTTTTCCATGCATAATGGTTAAACTTGGTCTTCTGCAGGCCTTGTCATAGGACAGTCCACCAGAAAATATTATGAATGGTTCACTATATAAGAAAAAATTAGTAAGACTGAGAAGTCCTTTAAGATGACAAAAAGTCCAAGTACTAAGCAGCTTTAAAGATTAAATTCAATGAGAAATATATACCAAGAAATTCAACAGTGAAAGGTTTCCTAATCCAAAATTTCTCACACAATCACCTACAGTTCACCATTTCTCTTTCTGGGGATATACATTGTAGCCAATAGAAAATAAGTAACTCTAAACTATTGCAGTAAGGTATGAGTTTGGAGGGAAGTGGAAGTGCTTGTTCACTGACTCTTCAAAAAAATTTTTTTTATTAGTATACATTTGCAGAACAAAATGATCACATTTATCATGGAGAGTTGGTACACGTACATGATATATATTCTCTTTTTTTTCATCCCATGCCCCCCTGCTACTTCCAAATCTTAGCCTCCTTCAATTTGAAAAAGATCTATTTTCATCAATTCTCTTTTTTTTCCATTTCCTTACCCTCCTCCTTCCCCCATTCTTTGTTCTCCCATCCATTAAGATACATTAACAAATTAGCTGGTTGCAAAACTCTAGATCACCTTTAGTAGAATATTAGTTTGTTACAGTATCCCATGAACTAGTTAGCATATGGAGCCTCAAATAAATTTGTAATATGACATAAATTTCACAGCCCAGTATTTCTACTTTTAATGTGCATGACCAGAAGTCCTATTACTAATACTAACATATATAGCACTTATACAAATAATAACTTTAAAATAACATCCATTATTTTCAATATTCATAGTACCAATCACTTAGATATACCTATTAAAAATTAGTTATTATAAAGGTAGAATGCTCAATTTCATAATTACTAATAGTAAAAGTTATCTGCCTTTTTTTCCCTCTCTTTTCCTTACATCTACTGTCATATTTACTAAAGCAAAAAATGCATACCTGTTTCTGCAGGTCTTGTACTCTACTTTAAGAATTGGTTTACAAGATTCAGATTTTCTTCCTTCTCTTTGACTTTTTCCTAAGGGAAAAAATTTTATTAAATGTAATTAAAGTGTATTCATCAGGTGAATTGTAATATTGTATTAAAATGATTTTACAAATAAAAAAATGTAATTATCTACCAAAATAGGATAAAGTCTATATATCCTAATGTGTTTTTTTTTTCTCATTGAGTTTATTGGTACATTGTAGAAATACAATACCGTGACGTTCATCATTGGGATCTTGTACCTTTACATGACAGGTCTTGGAACTAATTTTTTCCCCTTAGACCTGCCCTCCCTTCACCCTCTCCTCTCTTCCCTATTTACAAACACTTTATTTCCATTTTGGCATTTTCTCATTTTTTTCCTTTTCCCTTATGAACTTTCTCCTACCCTTCCCATTTCCCCTACCCCTTTAGCTCTTTTCTTGCTATTTCACATTGTCAACTATATCAGTAGGATCTTATGTAACATTATAGTTTTTCACACCAGATAAACTATTTGGTATTTATACATGTGTGACTTATTTATTTCACTTAGGAGTATATCCTCAATATGTATCCATTTTCCTATGAATGAGTCTAGCTTCTCATTCTTTATGGCTGAGTAGTATTCCTTTTATAGAAAAACCACATCTCCTTTATCCAGTCTCCAACTGATGGGCAACTGGGCTGTTTCCAAGTTTTAGCTATTACAAACTGTGCCGCTACAAACACAGCTGCACATATATCCCTTTTATATGATTCTTTTAATTCTTTTGGAAAGATACCCAGCAGAGGGATGGCTGGATCCAATGGAACCTCTAAACCTAGTTCTTTGAGGTATCTCCATACTTATTTCCATAGTGGCTGCCTATCCTAATGTTTTTATTGAACTTGTAGACAATTTTTAGATTTGTAACATTTCTCTGCAATATATTCAATATTATTTACAAAATTATCCAACTTTAAACACTTTATATTTTCCACATATAAATGTAGTTTCTTTAAAGATTATTTTACTTATGATGAAGATAAAATGAATGAATTTAGAATCGAAGACATATGCATATGTACTTTTCTGTACAATGAAATATATTACAACAAAAATTCAATTAGACTCAATATTTTATCTAAAATACAAGCAAACTCCTTTATATGTAGGAAAATCTGCAATGTAAATATAATATTCAAAATTATTCCATACCTATCGAATTCATTTCAAAGAAAGCCTACTAAATGAATATAGATAATACATTTTCAAATTTAAAAAGAATTTTAATGATGTATTCTACTTAGATGAATAAAAAACGATCATTTCTCATTTGGGGAGGATTTAGTTTCTTCAAATTTCATGTTTTTTTGAATAAAGAGAGAAGGAAATGGAAATAAAGCAACTACTGCATTAATATACTTATCTTTGTGGTTATGTTATCAGTTTAATTAACTCATTTTGATAAAATTTGCATGGTTTTTGAGTCTGCTTTTTTATTTTTAGTAAGTACCCTTATACATTCTTGCATTGCTACAACTTATAGTTATACCTGTTATGTACAAAAATATTTATATGCTTGTATGCTTAAAATTTTCAGCATAGTAAGAATGGCATTACCATGGAATAGTACTTTACTATAAAGAGTGACAGATGAGTTATTTGTAGGAAAATGGATACACCTTGAGACCATGTTAAATGAAATAAATCAGACACACAAACTTAAATGTCTTTTTTCTTATATTAAAACCCCAAAATATAAATAAATTATAGATTAAAACAGAATATAATAGGACACAAGTGAAAAATATTCTGCACAAAGGAAGAGGACCAAGGGATGGAGAGAAGAGAGGTATTAGGAAAGGGAACAGAGGAAGAGGGTTGAAAAAAAAGAATAAAGATGTTATGTACACATACCAATAACCTCTGATGAATGTAATCATTACGTACTGAAAACATGTACTCATAAAGAAAAAATAGAACAGCAAAACCAAATCCAAATAGGAGGTCAAGATGGTTTTATTCAACTTGTTAAAGGAGAGGGGGGAATCAGCATACAACAAACCTTTATTTTTCCCCATGGTATACTTTCTAAATTTGCTTTTTAAAAATTTTACTCTGTTAAATTTTTAAAAAGCAATCAATAATATAAAAATCTGCTATGATCATTCACATTTTTAAAAAGAGATAAGGATATAAAACATAAGCATATATATAAGATATATATGTTGAAGATTATTCATTTTGATAATGAAGTGGGAATACTAGAAAGGATTGAAAGTGACATAGCCATTCTCATTAGTTTACATAGTTTTCATCTGCTACTTCTCTCTAAATTACCAAGCTTCTCATTCTTTATGGCTGAGTAGTATTCCTTTTATAGAAAAACCACATCTCCTTTATCCAGTCTCCAACTGATGGGCAACTGGGCTGTTTCCAAGTTTTAGCTATTACAAACTGTGCCGCTACAAACACAGCTGCACATATATCCCTTTTATATGATTCTTTTAATTCTTTTGGAAAGATACCCAGCAGAGGGATGGCTGGATCCAATGGAACCTCTAAACCTAGTTCTTTGAGGTATCTCCATACTTATTTCCATAGTGGCTGCCTATCCTAATGTTTTTATTGAACTTGTAGACAATTTTTAGATTTGTAACATTTCTCTGCAATATATTCAATATTATTTACAAAATTATCCAACTTTAAACACTTTATATTTTCCACATATAAATGTAGTTTCTTTAAAGATTATTTTACTTATGATGAAGATAAAATGAATGAATTTAGAATCGAAGACATATGCATATGTACTTTTCTGTACAATGAAATATATTACAACAAAAATTCAATTAGACTCAATATTTTATCTAAAATACAAGCAAACTCCTTTATATGTAGGAAAATCTGCAATGTAAATATAATATTCAAAATTATTCCATACCTATCGAATTCATTTCAAAGAAAGCCTACTAAATGAATATAGATAATACATTTTCAAATTTAAAAAGAATTTTAATGATGTATTCTACTTAGATGAATAAAAAACGATCATTTCTCATTTGGGGAGGATTTAGTTTCTTCAAATTTCATGTTTTTTTGAATAAAGAGAGAAGGAAATGGAAATAAAGCAACTACTGCATTAATATACTTATCTTTGTGGTTATGTTATCAGTTTAATTAACTCATTTTGATAAAATTTGCATGGTTTTTGAGTCTGCTTTTTTATTTTTAGTAAGTACCCTTATACATTCTTGCATTGCTACAACTTATAGTTATACCTGTTATGTACAAAAATATTTATATGCTTGTATGCTTAAAATTTTCAGCATAGTAAGAATGGCATTACCATGGAATAGTACTTTACTATAAAGAGTGACAGATGAGTTATTTGTAGGAAAATGGATACACCTTGAGACCATGTTAAATGAAATAAATCAGACACACAAACTTAAATGTCTTTTTTCTTATATTAAAACCCCAAAATATAAATAAATTATAGATTAAAACAGAATATAATAGGACACAAGTGAAAAATATTCTGCACAAAGGAAGAGGACCAAGGGATGGAGAGAAGAGAGGTATTAGGAAAGGGAACAGAGGAAGAGGGTTGAAAAAAAAGAATAAAGATGTTATGTACACATACCAATAACCTCTGATGAATGTAATCATTACGTACTGAAAACATGTACTCATAAAGAAAAAATAGAACAGCAAAACCAAATCCAAATAGGAGGTCAAGATGGTTTTATTCAACTTGTTAAAGGAGAGGGGGGAATCAGCATACAACAAACCTTTATTTTTCCCCATGGTATACTTTCTAAATTTGCTTTTTAAAAATTTTACTCTGTTAAATTTTTAAAAAGCAATCAATAATATAAAAATCTGCTATGATCATTCACATTTTTAAAAAGAGATAAGGATATAAAACATAAGCATATATATAAGATATATATGTTGAAGATTATTCATTTTGATAATGAAGTGGGAATACTAGAAAGGATTGAAAGTGACATAGCCATTCTCATTAGTTTACATAGTTTTCATCTGCTACTTCTCTCTAAATTACCAAGGCATTAACTGAACAAAAAATAGTAAATGCGCAGTTGTTTATATAGAGTGGTACCACAGTTTACAAACTTAATTTGTTTTTAACATTTTGGGGGAAGATGACAGCAAGTGACCAGGAAAAAGTAATGGATGCTCTTTTTGTCCCTTATCTCTTATCCTAGCTACCCAACCTTAGGGTGGGTAATACTCACACCCAGGTTAGGGCACCCTTAATCCTACCCAGAACTATGCCAAATCAATCAGTAGACTAATTTAGTAATCACACACTTTTAATCCTAGCATCACATACTCTAGATTCAGCGACCTCTGAAAAAGCCTCACATATAACTTCATGAGGCTTTGCGGGGGGTACATTTGAATAAAAGCAAAGAAATCTACAGCTAAGCCAATCCTAGTAAAAATGCTGAAAGCCCAAAAGTAAAATCATGAATGTAACAAGAGAAAAATAATGACACATTGTGTATACTAATAAAAGAATGCCAATAAATGTTATGGCTTATATCTAGATGTCCAACCAAAGTCTCATGGGATCATAGGTGGGGTTTTCAGAGATGCCTGAATCTAAGGTATGGATTAAGAGTGCATGAATATAGATTAGGAATGGATAAACTTTTTATTTCACTATTGGTTTGATATTGTTCTGGGGGTGGATAATGGGAAGCCCCATCCTGGTTGGGGGAGGCATTACCCAAAGCATTTGTAGCTTGGATAGGGTAAAGGATAAAAAAAAGATTGCTTCTTTGCTTTGATGCTCTTTCTTCCTGTCTGTTCTGCCAGGGACCATTTCTCTTCTGTGATGCCTCTCTGCCATACCACCTTGCCTTGCAGCCAGCCAACTATTACAACTGTGAGCTGCAATAATCCTTTCCTCCTTTAACTTGTGGGTTTTAGGTATTTTGTCAAAGCAACCAGAAAAGTAACTAAGATAATAAAATTGATAGCTAACCTTCAGAAACAGTAATGCCCAAAAGGTCACAGAATAACATTCAAAGTA